AATTTGGATAAAAAGATAAATAAAAATCAGTTTTGAATTCAAACCGAAGAGTCAATTAGCCGTGAATAGGCAATAATTACTCTTGGAGTAAGCGGATTGCGATCCGCTAGCTCATACTTGGTTTTTGTAGAGAACGAAAGATCGATAACTCAAAGTACGCTTCCTCAAGCGTTTTGCTACGGCAGCCCCGCTGCATGAAGACTGGGTAACCGCTGCTGCTCCATATGCAGCGGACTTCTGAGCCGTGGTTACCTGCGGGGGTTAGAAAGCATTTACGGAGCGACTTTCGAGTCCTTTATCTTAACTAAAGACTTGCACATATAATGTGTACACTGTGGCGCGGCGGGCAGCTCCGGATAAATCAAATTCACAGTCACAACGTGACGGGATGACGTTGCGAGTCTTGCACCTCCAAAAGTGCAAGATCGATTTACTAACCAGGTCTAGTTCATTGAAAACGAGATGGATGTCGCCGTGAGCCCTTTATTATGGTGTCTTGACACCTTTCACCTCAGGGAACAGACACAGGCTGTGTGGGTAGAGGATATATAATCCTTTTTTTCATGGATGGCTCCGCCGTATGTATTTCGATAGGAATGGACGTGTCGAAGCAGGACTCGATAGCCGCTACGATTGTCCTCATTGGAAAACATTTCGTCATCCTCACCGAGAATAGCTTTAGGGTTGCCGGTCGCAAAGACCGCGACATCTCAAAGGTCCATTGAGCCATATCCGAGTATGCAAAGGAAATAAACCTTGATATGAGGACGCACACAGGACATGGATAAATTCTTACGCATCATCCAGGAACGGAACCAAGCGCCTTTAAAGTGATTACGTCCCTATTTTACGTGTCTTCATAAGAACGACATATAATGGGCTAAAGTATATTAACTTAATACGTTTTACGATGTTTAGATGATAGATCTACACGCATTGCATGACATGAGGCTAACAGCCACGTGTCCCAAGGCTCTTCCCGTTATCCTCATCATTGCCAGAACCATGGAACCATAACAATTGCACAAAGTATAATATGTACGAGTACAATTAACATTACGTACCCTGTGATACTCAACCCCAACAAAATATGGACCATACTGGGATTTGCACTTATTTGTCTCCACAAGACATCGCACAAAAGAAGACCGCGCACTGTATCTCGAGTTCCGTGAGCTCTGTGCGTCAGTAACTACAAAGTATATTACAAAGAGCAACTTAATATAACACCTGATATTTTAATTTACCATCAATAATAGTAAAATCCATGTCCCACCACCACTCCGATCTCATAGATCATGATGGTGCTTTTTACAAGGTCATAATAGTCACTGCGTAGACCATGACAGGAAATCACTGCCATACGGTAACTGTGAAACTTGCAACTGAACCTTATGAGAACGCCATATCGGCGGAAACGCATTTAAATCTTTCGAGTTTGCGGCTGTCATTGCCGCCAATTTGTGGAGTGAGATGGTTCACGACAATCCACTCATCCTCTATATCCCCCGGCTTACCATAGATATAACCCTCGTGTGGTGCACCCAATGTATCAGTTGGAAGGGCAAAACAAAATCAAGTTCTGGCTTCATTTCGGGGTTCCTCGACCTTCCTCTCTTCACACATATATGGGAAGTGATCACAGCAAGCAGCGGGGGCGAAAATCGCAACAGCGGCGGGAATCGCAGTCGCGACGCTTCGAAACGACGACAGATTCCCATCTCATGACTCCAATTTTCCACCCTGATACACTCACGTCAATGATTCCAGACCAATTCACATCGCTGGTTCAAGTAACAGAGGCACTAAGACTCAGTGGTCTTGAAAGTTGCAACCTTATCATCGGCATCGACTGTAAGTCGGCAAATTGACATGAAAATGTATGCGCAGCTAATTTATATTTCATGAGGAAAGGCACCAAATCCAACGAGTGGAGTGGCAAATGTACGTTTGAAGGACAGAATCTCCATGATATCGACGATCCAAGTGCTCGTAATCCATACGAAGACGTGATTGAGACGATTGGACGGACTTTACGAGATTTTGGTATGTTAACATGTTAAAAAAGGGGTCGATTTAATGAGACTTGACAAGTATGTTGCTCAGACAATGACAATGTCATTCCAGTGTACGGTTTTGGCGACGAGATCACATGTGATCGTGCAGTTTTTACGTTTGCGGAACCAAATGAAGCTGGATTTCCACTTGAAAATATTCGTGAACGCTACCGTGAAGTAGTTCGTCATGTCAACATGGCAGGACCAACGTCTTTTGCACCCATCATCAACGAAGCTGTGAATATTGTTAATCGCACGGGGGATTATCATATTCTCGTCATTATTGCTGATGGACAGGTAACAAGGTCGGTGGATATTCCTCCCCATGCTATCAGTAAGAATGAAAAGGAAACGATTGACGCAATTACATTCGCCAGCAATTTTCCACTCAGTATCATCATGGTAGGTGTAGGCGATGGACCGTGGGAATCCATGATTTATTTTGACGATTATCTATTACACCGCAAATTTGATAATTTTCATTTTATCGAATATCACAAAATCACATGGCAATTTCGCGACCCGCAAATGAGAGAGACTCAATTTGCACTTCAAGCATTAATGGAAATACCTGATCAATATCAGACTATCAAGGCCATGAACTATTTGAATCGTCACTTACATCGAGTCCGAACGGATCTTCCACGTGTTGACGTTTTTCCACCGCCACAATCAATAGTACCTAACAACTACAGTATCGTTCAATCACAATCGGAGGTACAACAGGTGCGTAACACAGCCACTTCAAATACTACGATTCATGCGAAATCCCTTTCAACGTCGCTCTCGGATTCTGTAAACGGATCAACGATGGGCCATCGTAAGTCGTCTGCTGAAGAAGAGCTGAGGCGACTCAAGGAATCGCTCCTCTGTCCCATCTGTGAAGAACGAAAGAAAGACACAGTGTTTCAATGTGGTCATGAAACGTGTGAAAAGTGCGCCGATTTTTTGTCGCACTGCCATCTTTGTCGACAACAGATTCAAGTGCGCATCAAGAGGTTTGGATAAGGTGGTAAGAAGGTTGATCGAGGTGATGGCGGTAAAAAGAGTGATTGATTGCACTCTTGAATTGATTTATTTTAAAAAAATCATTCTTATTTGTCGACTATTACAAATTGTCGAGTCGACGTCGTTGAGGCCACTTCCAATGGTAACCGTAGCAGGGCAATTGTCCTTGTTTGTGATTTAAGGTACCGCTTTTCGCTTCGCTCCGTGGCGAATGCAAACTCCATTTCGAACGGCTCCTTTGTTGCATCCTTCAGCTTGGCAGCGTTTGCCTCCACCATGTGAAACACACAATGTGCCTCCCACTGCACTCTTAGAGCAATTACCGACTTGACAGCGTTTGCCTCCACCGTGTGCAATACACAATCCTCCCAAGAGTGCCGTTTTGGTACAGTCAGGCATGTTGCACTTTCGACCACCACCATGGGCAGAACAAAAGCCACCCACAAGTGCCGACTTGGTACATTCAGCTTCACTGCATCGTTTGCCACCGCCGTGCGAGATGCAAAGACCACCTTGTTTTGCACTCTTATTGCACTCTGGATACGCACAACGTTTGCCACCTCCGTGTGAAATGCAAAAACCACCTGTTTTTGCACTTTTCGTACAATTTTCAGCTCGACAAAAACGACTTTGTTTGTGGTATTTGCAAAATGTACCGTTTGGACCACGAATAGTACGATAACACTCCGGCTTAGCGCACACAGTGTTGAGCATGGACGACAGATCGAACCCTCCTCGAGAGCTGCCACAAGTACTGCTGCTACTGTCGTCGTCGTCCAATTGCTGCTGCAATTCTCCATTGATGATGAAACTTAGACTCATGGCTGCAATGCCGCTGGTTGCTTCACCTTCTCCGTCCTCCGTATGGTGTACAACATTATTACTGCGCTCTTCATCACTTGATGTGCTAGAGTCATAGCGATCACCATCCATAGCTTGTGCCATGGGACTTTTGACGGTCACCCCACCTGGGCGAGCCAATGCTTTAATTAGTGGTGAGTGAATGTGAGATTGCACAACGTTGCAAGCGACACAAGGAGAATTTGGCGTAGTGTGGTGATGGATTGGATGGTCGGTAATAAATGAAGAGATAGAACTTGTGAACATTCAAGTAATGGGTAGAAAGATACGACGCTAAGTCGTGAAGCGAGTGTAGTAGGATTCCAGAATGGAAGAGCTACTGAAGCGAATGTATCTCTCGCTCCGGTGTTAAGCGGAACGAATAGATGGGGGTGGAGAGGAAAATCTCGAATGACTTCTGAGTTGTCCAGCTGCTGACCCCGAGACTACGTCGTGCAAGAAAAGAGCGTGTGTCCTGACCATGTCCTTTTTGCCGTTGTCTCGAGATGCAATTGGCGCTAACAGATCGCGCTCGCGGTAAGTGGTTATGAACGCTTGAGTTGAGATACCATGTCATTGATGCTTACGTTACCCGCTAAGTATTATGAACACAATCGACATAGCAGTAGCGACCTGTCGATCGGTATACTGTACGCAGAACTTAGTCAGATAGAGATTAGAGTTCAAACTTCGTTTTTTCGAGCATACCTAATGGTGGTACAGTACAGGGAAGGCCGCACAAGGATCAGACTAGTGAAAGATGACTTTTGAGCTGTGCATTCAGTGACCGATAACTAATGCACACATCGACAGATCGATTGCTTACGACTGAGACACAACTATGGTTGTGCATATCCTTGCGACGCCGTGGTTGTAATTACAGTCCACGAATTGTTCGTCAACATGACTGGCGTTGTAATGCTTTAATTTCCACCCTCACGACTCTGTACGGTTTGCAACATATGTTTGGATATTGCCCTCACCGGCTCTTTACTATCGCACAAGGCTTATGTTGCCCATTGTTAAACTTTTAAACCCTATCGTAACCTCGATTAATGCATGGTTTTGTAATATAGATAAAATCATAATTTCGTATGGAACACTTGACTCATAGATTAGTGTTTTCGTCATCACGACTGCAGAGCTTATTTCATCTCGTTAGATGACATCCCATTCGGTGGATCTTTAGGCTGTAGCATCGTTCAGGTACTAGCACGACCATACGAAGTCACGACAAGTAAACATGGCAATTGAAGTATTCATCTTGGTCCAAGATCAAGAAGGAATTTACTGACTAATGACTTAAGTCTCGGACTTGCAGCACGACAAGGCGACATCACTTCATTGTTTGATGATGTTGTCTTTTTCGAAGCAAATTGAGAAGATTCAGAAGAATACGCATTAACAAGCTGAGGAGTAATGTTTACTTTGTAAAGGAAAGCAAGAGTCCTTCTCAATTTTTCATATCTTCAAACTCAGATCGAAAAGCAAGCACAAAGAAAAGCAGTCCGTTTCTAATGTTACGTGAGACGATTTAGCAGGAGTGCGGTCCGAACAAAATGCTCGAATTCTCTTTTTATAAATTTTCTCGCCGAAATCTTGGTGATGCGGAAATTCCCCTGAACGCGAGTTAAGCCGTAGGATACGATGTCATAGGCAACGTAAAGGTATGGTGCTTCTTACTTAAATGGATTTTCTATGGAATATGTAAACACTAAATTTTCAAATTGTTTCCTACTCAATATTTCATGTGGTAGGAGCTGGAGCACATCAAGAGTGATATGTAGGACTACAAGAAGTGTGAAATCAATGCGCTTCGTGCATTGTGTAAAATACAGCAGATTACGCCCGCCTGTCAAATAATAGACCAGCTACATGCCAATCTTTGAGTGACAGCCAAAACGTGCCGTGCAAAATACTATTCAGTGGTCCAAACGCATTTGATTGACCGTAACTTCGTTTTTAATCCTCAACAAGCCCTTCTACAGCGACTCAAGCAATTGTCTATTGCGCCTGTTACTCGGCACGAATGCAGTGGGGAGTGTGTAACGGAGGTGCCGTGCACCTTGCACAGATGATGCTTCGTTACAGCAAGTCTACCGTTATAAAGAACAAATAAGAGTTTTGGACTTTCCACATAGCCAAGAGTATTAAGTACTCAGTCTGCTCTTCTAATTTATTTTATGCGTGACATTAGGTCTATCTAAAGTTTAAGCTGTCCAAGAAGATGTTGGCCTTAAGTGCATACCACTTGCTATTTGCGACTGAATAAAGATGCTGATGCACCTTTACAGCGATAGTTCTGAGTCGACGAATGCGTTAAAATCGCTTTTGCTGTGATGTTGGTGTAAGAATAGAAGGACTACAACAATAGTAAAACTGATATTAAACCCTACACAATTATCCACTTGCTTTGCCTGGTATAAAAAAGCCTCTAAAAGAATATAGTACGCAATAATCGAAAGACAAAAAACTTCGTCATCTTGACATATCGTTCAGAAGGAGTTTTGATTGATATGACAATGATTTTTTAACTAATCGTACGCCTAAAGTACTTCAATCAAATTACTCTTTCTTTTAATATTGGTGTGATGTTATCATCAGTATATTCGTCGATATACATTTCGGGAGGGACATGAGAGGTTACCCATTTTCGTCATGAACGGTCAGCTGCTTGAAGGGTCATGCAACCTTCATTCATTTGCATCATCTCATCATATGAGCAATTTTTGATACATTTCCCTACCAGCAGCACACTTCGGTTGGATGTCTCCTGTGCGCACTCGTGTACGACGAGTAACAGAGCCAAGTTGTCATTTAACAAGTAGTGTAAATATAAAAGTATAGTAGGTACCCATTCCACCACGATGTGAACCAATTTGGGGCGCACACTACTTCTATCTTATTAAAACACTTCTAATAGTGAGCGTCCAATGAACAATCAGTCTAGCTTCACTTCTTTACACTTTTACCGTTCCTACTCCTCGCGTCATACTTGCACCATTATTACCCTCTGTAACGGGGTTACACGTACCCTGGTAACAGGGGTGTGTGTCACACGAGATAGGCATGGTGTGACT